TCCTAGAATGTTTTCTTAGAGAAAACAAGTTTACAGTATTAAATCAGCTGGTTTGCATTGTCTTATGTGCAGATAAAGAAATGAGTTTGCGTGGCTCCATTACCAAAGCTTTAGGAAGAATTAACAATTTTTCTAAGATATACTAGAAAATAACACTTCACTTTAATAGTTACAATATTTAAAGACAGTAATTCATCGATTTCTGTGTTTTAGCTAATAACTCTGACACTGAATCCTTCCCGCACTATGAAATTTTGCTTAGGGCTGCTCTTTGCAATTCCTCTATGTTGTTAAGTTCTCCATATGTTTTCCCTCTTGAAGGACATGTTCAATGGAGGGATTCTTTCCTCCAGCTGCCTAATGGTACACGTGCCATGGCTGACATTGTGGCTTCATTCTTAACATGTCCCATATCTTCTTTTCTAGATAACTTTGGAGATAATACGTTGTTGAACTCTGACAGATCTCAGCAACTGTTATAAAGTCATTCAATTTCAGACCTACCATTCTTCTAACGCATTGGCTTTCAAAGGCATTTAGACATCTGGCTACCTTTGGTGGAATTCCAGCTTTCACATCAGTTAGACATTTTTAAACCAACGCTTTTAAAAAACAAAATAAGCTTTTACATACATTATGAACAATAGCCTGCATTTAAAAAAGCATAGGCACAAAAGTATGGGCCTGATCTGTGTGCTCAAAACACACCTGATGTGTATACAAGTTGGGGCTGCACAGGTAAAGGTATGAACAGATGCAAATCTCAACCTTATATGCAAGGATCAGACATACTTTCATCCATTCATTTTTAGAATTTTGGGCCAAGGCATGTTTCCATATCTTTGCAAACGAGTCCCTTCCTCACTCTTAGTATTGTGACCTTTTGCATGCTAGTATACTAATCTTATTCAGAGAGTAAATATTTCAATTTTAATTGCATCAGAACTAATTCAGTCTAGCCTATAGATGGGGCTCTTTGAATTAGCTACAATTAACCTGAACATCTTAATTTCTTTGTATGGGAAAAACAAGACACTCATTCCCTGTTCATTTCTGTTAGCACAGAGCCGCAATAAATGAATACTGTAGGTGTTAACAAGCATGACTGTGCTACAGAGTAAGTTGTTCTTTTGCAATATCTTCTTATAACACTTAGACTTTCAAGGGAACTGTTGTTTCAAACACAAAAGTAATGCCTCCAACATGTGAGATGTCTGACTGCAGCACATTTTTTTGCTGCACTCCGTTTCTGCAGCTGCAACCCAACTGGAGTGTTAGAGCATTATGACTAAACATTCAAAGCTAGGAATGCTTATTTTAGATAAAGTAGAGAAAAGCACTTTTGCATTGTTGGGTACTTAAATAATAAGTCTGACTGATGAAGAGGTTGTGTTAGTGGCAGCTCATCCTTATGCTGATATAACTTTGGATGTAGCTTTTATTGAAATTGCGAAATTATTTAGGACCATGTATTTAGAGTGCTTAGATGAATCAGTGTGAAAATATATGCAAAAGTCTATTCCTGTTTAGGAAAAGCACTTAAGTATGTGATTAAAGTTACACAGGTTCTTAAGTGAATTGAGTCATGTGTTTTTTATATTTACTGTAAAATATCTACAGTAGTTGCTTCTGGTGAATCTTCAGAACATTAAGGGTGTGTTTGCATGTATTCTTCTCCTGTAGTAAAGAGGATAGGATTCAGACATTGTGTGCTAAATCTGCAGTAAGCCAGGTTGTTGAATCTATACTTAAGATCCTACTGTGTAAGGTCCTCGCTCCTCAAATATACACTATAAGTAAGATTCTAACACCCTTTCTCCATGAGTAGTGCTGCTGACTATGATGGAGTAAGATGTTATTTGGGGTGAAAATGGGGTACTAAGTACTTAATACCATGGGGAGGAAGTATGCAGGTTCTTCTGAAGTTAAGGCATCTCAAATCCACCAACAGTTAGCTTTATTGGGTGGAAGTCTGCATAATGATGTTCCACCTCAGCCTAGATAGTGAAGGCAAGATCCCTTTTCTATTGAAGTCAATGGAAAGACTCCCATTGAGTTTGGCAAGAGTTGGTTTGGACCCCGAGGAAGCAAATAGAATATCAGTGCTTTCCTTTCTGCAATAACTAACTTGTACAGTTCGGATGTTTAGCCCACAACTTACTGTACTGCTCTGCATTTTAAAAGATTAGCATGGGATTTAGGCACACAAATCTCATTGCATGAGGAATTAGCCAGCCAATTCCCATTCTAATCAATGGGAACCACATGGCTAAATCCTGTGTAACTCATTGAAAATGTAGAAGTTTCTCAGTTGTTTGTTGCCATATGGCTAGATAATGCTGGGGGTTGTGCAACATAAACATTAGTTTAAGTTTCTAGAGTAAAAAGATTAGGTTTGGCATGTTGTTAATAGAGCTTCAACCTCCTCAAATGGTGTAGCTTATCTTCATAAAAGTTGTTATGGCTTCAAGTCTGGATGCTGTTTCTTCTCCAAGCCTCTCCTAGTTATTCAGTCTCTCTTGTTTACTGCAGTGCATAGAAAACAATAACATGTGTCAATTAATTCCTAGATTTCCTCCCTCCCCCCCCAAAAAAACCAACAACTTGGGCTGAATTCTGGCCCCAGTGAAGTCAATGGCTGGCCCCAATGAAGTCAATGGCTTAAATGGGGCCAGGATTTCACTCATCATCTGTCTGAGAAACAAACAAACAAAATTGGAAAATATTATTTTCTCTTTCCTAACTAATTTGTCTGCAATTTGAGTGTTACATCAAATTATGATTTTTACAGTGCATAAAGATTTTGAGACATCTGCCCACTTCATTATATATCTTGGGTGTGCTTTAATTAACCCATTCTCCTACACGTCCCTGGAGCTCATCTTTCAGTTCTGTTGATGATATTTATTTATATGGTTGTCTAATGCCTTATGATTTATTTTCACTGCTGTCACTGGTACTTCTAAATAACAGTCAGGAGCTCAGACAATTGATAGAAATGTTCATGGTGCTGTAATATTAAATGTCTTACAGCCAAACAACCCAACTATTTGTATTGTACTGTATACTTCTTTTCTTCTGAGAATGTAATACCTTCCTGTTCTTTCATCTCTCACTCCCTATTATCCTCAGAACAGATAATAAGAGCTCAAATTATTGTTATGGCCCCCAAATGGAGCATAATTTGATATACCATAGAAAATGCTAAATGACAATTTTCTCCACATTTTGAGGTATTGATATTACATTTGTGCCAACCATAGATCATTTATAGGACAAATTGCTTCAACAAATACATTTAATGTTGGATAATATAAATAAAAATATGCCTATATTGTTCTTTTATAACCCATGAATATATGATTTAATCATTTAATCAGATATACAAGCATGCACTGAGCGAAGGACTGAGTCCATAGAATGGATAAAAATACTGTGTACTGTTGTCATAATGTCTAGGGAATTTTTTATCCAAGTTTCTCTGTATGGTCGTGCAGAGAAATCTTTTGTAAATGTGCATTAGCGTGCAATCAAACTGAGGCCATGATCCTGCAAATACTTATAAATGTGCTTAACTTTTTATGCATGTGAGCAGTTCCATTGAAGTAAAATATTTGACACCACTGGGATTAAGCACAGACATAAGTGTTTGCAGAACTGGGGGCTTAAAAACGTACCAACTTTACTTTATAGAGCTAATGCACATCTGTCATGCTCTATTGTATCAATAACACTATTTCCAATGAAGATTGTAGTGCCTTGTAACTTGCTATTGTATGAAAATCCATGTCTTCCAGGGACATATATACATACTTAATAGGTGCTATTAGAAACTCAGCATTTGCCACTCCAGGTTCCTGCACTAACTGTGGTATTTTCCTGTACTTATAACAGGGTGGCCAACGTGGGGCTCCGGAGCCACATGTGGCTCTTCAGAAGTTAATATGCGGCTCCTTGTATAGGCACCGACTCCGGGGCTAGAGCTACAGGCGCCAACTTTCCAATGTGCCAGGAGGTGCTCACTGCTTAACCCCTGGCTCTGCCATAGGCCCTGCCCCCACTCCACCCCTTCCCACCCCCTCACTCCTCATCCCCAGAGCCTCCTGCACACAACGAAACAGCTGATGGGGAGGGAAGGGGAGGCGTTGATTGACCAGGCTGCTGGTGGGTGGGAGGTGCTGGGAGTAGGGGGAGAGGGGCTGATTGAAGGCTGCTGACGTGGCTCTTTGGCAATGTATATTGGTAAATTCTGGCTCCCTCTCAGGCTTAGGTTGGCCATCCCTGACTTATAATAAGAGAACCCAGTGTACCACAATCACTGCAGTAGGTCAGATAGTGAGGTTTATTTTCTAATATCCTTTTACTTTTTAAAAGAACTTAAGAACATACATTGACTTAAATTATGTATGTTATTTTACACTTCCTTGCTGTTCAGCAAATATTGTTATATACTAAAAAAAAAGTTAATCAGTTTTACAGCAGCTGAATTATACATTATCGATAAAAGAAAGTCAGTTATCTAGGTATTTGTCAGGAATTTTTTGTCTCCCTTATTGGGTTTTCAGTTAATGTGTGTATTTCTCCATTACCATTATATCTTAAGCTTTATTGTACCAGGCAGGAGTGTTTTCTTTTTCCATTTCCCAGCTAATGAGAAACTGGCTGCCTCTAGTAAATGTGTTATTAATGATTTAGGTTCTCCAAAGGCCATACTGTTAATTGGGAAACCTAAAAGGACCTAATGGCTCCTTAAGAAGATTACATCGAGTCATTGATCTGATTTGGTCAGTTATCCTGCCCCAGTAACCTTGTGCCTCTGGACAATCCCACCTGCTATGCATAAAGGGCCCTGTATTCCCACATGCCCTCCAGCATCAGTCACTGTTAGGTTACAAATATTAAAAGCTTTGCTGAATTAAGGTACCATTGATGTAATATCTTAAAACAGTTTTCCCTTGTAATGGTATTTCTCTGTTGACATCTATTCCTCTTCTCTTCAGGATGCCAGCATTCCCCTTTATGTCCTCAGGGATCAGATATCTGCAGATCTGTAGGAAAGTGTCCTCTTTTCCAGTTCTCCAATAATTGGCAAGCGACCCACACCAGCATGCTGCAGAGGAAGGTAAAAAATCTCCAAGGTCACTGCCAATCAGATCTGGAGAAAAAAATCTTCCTGGTCCCATATATTGTGTTCAGTTACATTCTGAATATGTTTTAACAAGAACCAGACAGCCAAGCACCTAGAGAGAGAATGCTCGGTGCCACCTCACAGCCCTGGCCCACCACATCCAATGTCCCATCTCCAGCCTGGGCCATCCCTGATGCTTCAGAGGAAAGAGATTTTTAAAAATACCTGGCATAAACTGGGGGAAAGGAAATCCCTTCCTGCCCCCTGCAGGTGGCTTGCTGAAACCCTGAAGAATGAGCCTTTATATATGCTAATTTATGTGAGTGAAGTGTGTGATTTATTTATAAGCATTCATTAAGGAGATTTCTATAATACAACTATGAATCATATCATCAATGGCAGAATTCATCCTAACTCCAATTATTGTCTTATCTCACTTAAACTTTCACCTAGATATGTTTGCATTATTGCACACTCTCATAAGATAAATTTAAAATGAAAATGCCTGAAGCAATACTGTCCACTTCACTATGACAGTAATATTTTGTTGTAAATCTCCTGTGGAAGAGTTAAGTCTGTATTCATTTCAGTGAGAGTCAATACAACCCTAACTATTCATTCCTTGGTGTTGTAGTTTGTTTTTTTAACTCAAACTTTCTTGAACGATTACAACATATACTTAGAGTTGGGTTTTCTAAAGCATTCAGCATTGGCCTAACTCTGCTCCCTTTGAAGTCATTGCTCCTAAACCACAGATCTATACTTGCCACCTTAACTATCCCTTAACAAAGCTTGTTCTCTAAACATATTCTTCAGCTTCTCTGTTGTATGTTTGTGAAAATTATTAGGAATCCTAATGAAAACCATTGAAAACAGCTATCATGCAGGGCCCCACACTGAAATTGATAGTTGAAATGGAGAAATCTGCATATTTGAAATGACTCTATGTTGCTGTGAATGTAGAACTTATATTTAGCTCCTATAATTCCCTGAGCCCGAATTTTATAATGAAGTAGAAATTAATGTAAGGATAAATTCTCATCACAAAGTACAGCTCATAACTGTTTAAGTTCAGTTTATGGTCTGTTGATTGGCTAAGTCTGAGTTAATTGAAAGTAATTATAAATAGGCAATTTGCAAACTGAAAAAAGAAAATCAGAGTGAAAAATTAAGCTTCCATGGTCCAATTCAGCGAGTCTTATAGTTGGAGCAAAGAAACTTTGATATAAATGTAATTCCTCAGAGACAATGCTCTTCCCACTACTATTATTTGAAAAATAAATGTAAACAGATTCTGCACTCTCCATCCAACAAAAGGTCCTATTGGCATGAAATTTCTCTAGTGTAAAATGTCTTCTTCCCTCTAAACAGATACCATACATTGTACCCAAAGTCAAAGTATGTTACAAAAATATATTACAAAATATCTTTATATGTATTACAAAATATCTTTAAGTTAAGGTATGGTGATAAAACATGACCTTCTGAATATTTTGGGGGTTCAGTGATATTGTATGAATATTAACTATATTTACTAAGCCTTGTCATCTTATATTTGTCTGTAAAGCATTATGCACACCAGTAGAAAATAGCAATGAATAATAATAGTGTGATCCATATATTTAAGTGGCATAAAAGCCTACCTAGGCTGTAGTACTTACGAAAAAAGAAAACATCATGTCATTATTTATATACTTAGTTACTCTGCAGAGTGATTGTAAAATAGCTTTAAATCCTACTCAGCTCTTCTATCTCGGCTGATTACTTTATCGGAACAGTGAAATGAATTTTAATTATAATATGACATTTCCATGAAATATTCTGATAGATGTTCGTCTTATTTTTCCATCAGTCATCATAAACAGAAGGAAACATTCATGATATTCAGCTACCAAAATACCTCCAGTACTGCCTACCAAAGATACCTTCAGTGTTCATCGATTAGCTCTGATGTCACACAGACTCCAAAGTATTGTAATGTTATTCCCCAAAACAGCCCCGCCTTCTGAAAGTGGTTCTTCCGAGAATGATGTAGAAACATGTTGATGCTAAGCTGTGAGGCAAACTGCTTGCCTAGCCCTATTGTGAAGGCACCTTTATATGCAAAAGTATCTGTCTCCTTAGCTGGGTAACCTGCAAATCTTTAGTTGATAGTTGTTCAGGAAAATGTAACACATTTTGCAGTCTATAAGGCAGGATGCTCTGCTGGCCTATCTATACTCTACTGGCCTTACAGTCAGCAGTTTTGTGATCCTTAGCCTGGATTTTGGATATTCCAGAGATGATATCACACCACTTACTGTAGCCGCTGAATACTAATGAGGAGTTAGGGAAGATTTGCAACTGCTGAGCCTGAAATTGTTTGAGAATTTTATTTGTACATTTCCCTTTGCAGGTTTTGTCACAACTCACTTGTCTCTGTCCTCCCACATCCTATATTTATTGAGAAACAAATATAAATTCCAAAGATCAATAATCTTGGGCCTGAAAGCTCTGTCCTGTGAGTGAAATACGTCTTTAAAAGTGTAGCTCTATGAGTTGTGTGCATACACTTGAAACTTCTGTTTAATTTCTGTTCTTGAACCTCCTTTTTAAAATCCAGATAAATGCTGGACCAGGTGTAATTTATTAGCCCAACAGTAATAGCCTTTCAATATCCTAACCGGACTGCTGTCTTCCCTCTGAATATTCCAACAGGCATACAGTAAGGATTCAGATTTTTTTAAACACAGCAAATTAATCACAGAATTAGAGCAATTATGTAACAAGTTAAATGCACAGGGACTTACTTTCATAAATGCAACTGAAAATAGGAGTGTAACCCTCCCCAGTTAGTGGGGGGACTGAAATTGACTTTCAAGTGAGCAGAACAGGTCCAGTCTCTCCTTAGTTGAAAGCCCAGCCTAGAACCAGAGGCTCAACACATTCATGAAGAAGGCTTTGTGCTTCCTGATTATTGTACTACTGCAGAGTGCAGGGATGCATTCCTAATCAATAATTAGTCATTAAAACAGCATGGACTATCTTCCACAGGCAGCATCATTTTCGTTGGTAGCATTTCCTTCTTTCAAGTAATCTAAATGAGTCTGCTGTTTTTGTTTTTGCTTTCCCAGTCAACCATCACCATGTTTATCAGATGCTTTCTCTTTGTCACAGAGGCCCATTGCAGCTTCTGATATCTGAAAGGTCTGAGCCTGTGACTATATAAAAGATGCTAATAGATATGTAACCACTATATAGAGAGCTGGTTGAAATTTTCTGTCAATGTGATTTTTGGATAGAAAATACGGTTTTTGCAAAACTGAAATTTTCCACAGGAAATTTTTGGTTTTGATGACATTTTTAATTTTTCACCAGGCAAATTGTAACGAAGTATTTTGTTTTGGGTCAATTTGACCCAAATTGAAGCATTTCAGTTTGTTGAACAGAATCAAAATATTTTGAGTCAGTTCAACATTAAACTGCATCTGTGCATGGTGCCATGGTGCATCATGGGAGTTGTAGTTTGGGTGCTTCATCCTCCATTCTTATGTTCATTTGCCAGACATTTCCCTTGATGCACTGTGCCCTCCACTCTTACTGAGCCATGTGATGCTTCGTAAGAGTCACGTAACTGTAGGTGCATCATGGATCATGGAAGACATAGTGTGGCCATAGAGCCTGGCACTTTGAGGAGACCAGGGGCAAGAGGCACCCATACCACACTTACTATGTGTCTCTGCAGCACAATAGGCAGATGCAATTTAATTGCAAACTGACTCAAAATGAGATGTTGAATTTCCATTCAACACACTGAGACAAAATGTTTTGACATTTCTGATTCAGTTTTTAGAACTTTTGATGAAAGTTTAGATATTTGAATGGTTTGTCTCAATTCAGGACAAAAACAAATGTTGAAATGGTGGAATTTCCCACAGCGCAGAAATTCAGATATTTTTCTTGGCTCTAGTTATATGTATATAAACAAGTCTGAAGCCAAAGAGTTGGCCAAGATGTAAGACCAAAAGTTGGCCATTGCTAGCATGTAGTCTCATGTAGTAGTCTCAATATTAGTTCACATAATGAAAGCATTTATCTTTCAGGATTCACCTATTAGTGTCATAACTAAACAAGAATCTTTAAGCATTTAAATCAGGATTTAGACTGCAGCTCACTTTTGGGAAGGTATATAGTACTGCTTGTTATTAAGGCATGATAAGAAGAATCTTATACCATCTAGAGATTAAAAATGTGTATTTAGGTCATCAATCTACAAATAAAGCCCTCTAGTAGCAAGTAAAATAAGAAAGATGATGATAGATTCATGATTCATGGCATGAGCCAGATGCATTATGAATGATCAATGAACATTATCATCAGAACAATGTCCTACTGTTACAATTATGGTGCATCATAAATGCAAATATAACTGCATTGTATTTAATGAAATACAAAAGCTTCATTTAAATAATAAAGTTAAGGTTGTGATTCAAACTGACCAAATCTTCACTATTAGAGAGACAAGGTGGATAACTTTTATTGGACCAACTTCTGTTGGTGAGAGAGACAAGCTTTTCGAGTTTACACAGATCTCTTCTTCACATCACTGTTTATGCTTGAAAGCTTGTCTCTCTCACCAACAGAAGTTGGTCCAATAAAAGATATTACCTCACCCACCTTGTCTCTCTAACACCCTGGGAACAACAGGGCTACAATAATATTGTGTAAAACTTTGAAGACTCAAGTAGGCTGACATGATTTCATCCTTAACCCCTTTGTTACTGCCGGAACTTAAACATGTTTTGATAACACTTTCTTATGGACCATCAGGACATGCCTAGTGATAACATTGGACAAGTATTTTTGCCACAGGGAACTGAGGGACCACAGTATACAGACATCTGTTCTTCCCATCCCATTTTGAGGTCATCTTATTGATTTCAAAGTATGCTGACAACACTGCCAAGGAGTAAGATGTTATTTCAATAGCCATTCAGAGTGAAGGGTGATATACATATGTATATATATACACACAGACACACTTAATCGTTCACTGTATAAGTGAACAAGCCTACCAGTGAGTTAAAATGCCATGATTATGGTTAAGATTTTGTCATGGTTATTTTTAGTAAAAGTCATGGACAGTTTGCTGGCAATAAACAAATTCATGGAAGCCTGTGACCTGTCTGTGACATTTACTAAAAAATAACCCAGGATGGCAGGCTGACTACTGGGGTAGACTGAAGCCCGCGCCCTGCTGCTCGGGGAAGGGAGGTTCCAGCCCCTGCTGTAGAGGCTGACAGTTCTAGCCCCACTCCCCTGAGGCATGTGGCTGAAGCTGAAGAAGTCATGGAGGTCTCTTAGAGTCACAGAATCCATGACCTCTGTGACGAAAACATATCCTTAGCCATGACAGTAGCCACTCGGGGTGAGAAGAAATATATACACTTAGATATATATTCACTGTGTAAATGATAATGGAATCACTGATGGGAGTATGTTCATTGGAGTGTGTGACAAATGCTCTTGGCCTCCCTGATATACAGTTGTCCACAGTTAGCTCTGATCTTAAACATTTTATGTTGCACTGAATTTAAATTGGAAATAGTAAGTCTGGTCCATTATCTGAACAAATATTTTAAATAATAGTAAGCAAGTAAGCAAGGGTGGGGAAGGGATACAATGAGTTTAACTTACTTGCCCCCTGTGTTCAGGTTGAGTGCACCCCAGACTCTTCACTCAAGAAATGCAAACAATCCATGAGTCTGGTGCCATCTGCAACAAGCTGCAGAGGGGTTGGGGTGAAAACAGGGCCATGGAGGAAATTCTGCCCTCACTGAAGTCAATGGCAAAAATTCCATGGACTTCAATAGGGCCAGGATTTCACCTCACAGTCTGTCCCCTCCTCACCAGCCACCATAGCTGGTCCTGTACTGTGGTGAGACCATATATGTACTCTTTGCTAATGATGTACCAGTTGTCACATTCTGGGATGCATCCCAGATCAGTCAGGGATTGTGTCACTGCCTGCCCTGTAATCCTGGATGCCTTCGATGCTCTGCTGTTGTGGCTCACAGCTTGAACACCGATGGCTAGCCGACAAGCATGCACTGAGTGTCTGTGTTAAGCAGCTCTGACTCAGAAACTCTGATTCCAGCAGCCTGCTTGTTACAGCTCAGTCACACTCTGGCACACACCAGCTCTGGTTATGCCTGGCAAGGTGACCCCAATACAACCTAGCTCTGAATTTTCCCCAGACCATGAGCTCTGCAATGTCCAGGCCTTTCCTGGACCATTCAGAGGAATAATAAGGTTCATTTGGTCCTCTAAAAAGATAAACTGCACAGCTTATCACTTTAACTGGGGTTAACAATCACTTTAAGTCAGGCACAGCACGGGCTTGGTTTAGATTGAAAATTTAATAATAATAAAATTTGTTTTATTAACAAAAGAATATAGGTATTCAAGTGAGTTCAAGTAAAAGGGATAGAAACAGAAATGGTTACAAACAGATAAAAGCGAAAAATGCTTCCGAGAGACTAAGATGTAACAAACTACAGTCTTGTTTCAAGGTAAGATTCTTATCACTCTACCTTCCAGCATGATGACTAACCACGTATATAGTGAGGATCCCCCACAAAGTCCAAAGTTCTCAGTTCCTTTGTCTTCTGAGGTGAAAAATCATATGGGGTGCTTTGCCCCTCTTTTATAGTCCAGTAAACCTTTGAAATGGATTCTTTTGAAGATTACTCCCCAAAATAAAGTTCATTCAAGCTATGAGGAAGGCAACATGTAGTCTCCTGATGAAGGAAATTCCATGTTGGTATTTGCTAAAATGCAAATTGCTCTGTTTCCCGTAATCTTCTGCCCTGCTGTGATGCTGAGTGGTTATCTCCTTCCCTTATTAGCTTGATGGTCCTATTTACCTTTTTATGTAAATTGCATTCCCATTGTCTGTAAATATACCTTGGAAGTACCTTCAAGGTGGCAGAACCACATTCCCTTTTCTACAGTGGGGTGGACATGCTTTAAGAACATAATTTCCAATATGCCTGTAATTTTGAGTTTTCCCACTGTACATGCACCATACAATAATATTAATAATCAGTATGTTATTAGCTTTCTATTGAGCTCTTACATGACACCTTTTAGGTATGGGTTATGACATTGATGAGTTGGAGTGGTCAGTCCAGCTGAAACTCACTATCAGATACCAGTGAGCCTCTTGCACTGAGATGCTGTAAGGATCACACAAGCATCTGCCCTTCCTTTGCACTCCTGAAGGCACTGTGCTTCCCTTGTCCTACATATCCTAGAAGTGGTCTGGCTAAGTACTCCAGTCTCTATACCGAGGATAGTGTGGGGAAGGATTTGTGGTGACAGCGAGAACACCACTTGGAACTACAGGAGGTAGAAGCATATCCTTGTTTTGGAAGCTCTGAATGTGCTCATATACTATGGGAAAAAATGTTAAATGACAGCTAACAATTCTCTCATTTACTGGTTTCTTGACAAAGCCAGCCATTTTAAAAGGTCAAATCTTCTGCTTCAGTTGATTGAAAACTGCCAACTGCTGTATTCATAGTGCTCGACAGGGAGATAATGATGTCACTCTTCAAATTATTTCATACATATATGCCTTTTGGGGGGCAGGTTTTGCAGGAGTCATGGCCTTAGAAAGTTTCTAGATGCTGTACGTGATGCCTGGTATCTACAGTAAATATTAGTCTCCTTATCTTATATAATACTCTGCTGTTCATTTCAATAAGAATATAATATCACCTAAATTT